TTAGGGTTTAGGGTTTAGGGTTTAGGGTTTAGGGTTTAGGGTTTAGGGTTTAGGGTTTGGGGTTTAGGGTCTAGGGTTGTTTTAGGGTTTAGGGTGTAGGGTTTAAGTTTTAGGTTTTAGGGTTTAGGTTTTAGGTTTTAGGGTTTAGGGTTTAGGGTTTAGGGTTTAGGGTTTAGGGTTTAGGGTTTAGGGTTTGTGTTGGTTGTAGGGATGGAAAGAACAAGAAGCTGCCCTGCGTTGTTTACCTTCACGGGAATTGTTCTTCTCGCATCGAAGCCAGTCTGCCTACAAACCCTAAACCCTAAACCCTAAACCCTAAACCCTAAACCCTAAACCCTAAACGCTGATATGTTATATATGTTTTCTTTATTCGCATTTGTGTGTTCTTTATTTTAACCGTTTTCCTGCTGCTAGTTCACCCTCTACAATCTAGGGTTTAGGGTTTAGGGTTTAGGGTTTAGGGTTTAGGGTTTAGGGTTTAGGGTTTGTTGCGGTGTATGTACAGTGTCAGCTCTCCCCGTTCTTCTCCCCCAAAATATAACCGTCTTCGCTTTTGATTTTTCCGGCAGCGGCAGATCTGATGGACCCTATATTTCACTGGGTGAGCTAGGGTTTAGGGTTTAGGGTTTAGGGTTTAGGGTTTAGGGTTTAGGGTTTAGGATTTGTGTGTAGGCTGGTGGGAGCGCGACGACCTAGACACATCAATGAATACCGGTTAACTAGAGTATTAGGGTTTAGGGTTTAGGGTTTAGGGTTTAGGGTTTGTGTTATAGGCTGGTGGGAGCGCGACGACCTGGACACAGTGATAGATATATAACTAGGGTTTAGGGTTTAGGGTTTAGGGTTTAGGGTTTGTGTGTTGAGTTGGTGGGAGCGCGACGACCTAGACACATCAATGAATCCCCAGTGGTTTAGGGTTTAGGGTTTAGGGTTTAGGGTTTAGGGTTTAGGGTTTAGGGTTTGTGTTATAGGTCGATGGTAGCTCCACGCCTTTGACACATCAATGAATCCCCAGTGGTTTAGGGTTTAGGGTTTAGGGTTTAGGGTTTAGGGTTTGTGTTATAGGCTGGTGGGAGCGCGACGACCTGGACACAGTGATATTAGGGTTTAGGGTTTAGGGTTTAGGGTTTAGGGTTTAGGGTTTGCGTTATAGGTTGGTGGGAGCGCGACGACCTAGACACAGTGATAGAATATCTGCGTTCATGTGAACGTGTTACTGCGGTGGGGTTGTGGGGCCGCAGCATGGGGGCTGTTACTGCGCTCCTGCATGCACACAGAGACCCCACTATAGGGGGAATGGTGAGTTTATATATATATATATATATATATATATATGTATATATATATA